TACGACAGAAAGTGTCATCTTACGGCTAATAATAAAAACTTTAAAGGCTAAGTGTTGTAAAATATGCCTCTGAAAATGCAATGTATTTAAGCAATTCAATGTAAATACAAGGAATAACATGTAGTGAGTTTAATTTTAACAGATCCCAAAATGAGGCTTCCGGCAGGTAATCGGTTAAGCAATTCACCCCAATCAAGAAAACAGCCTGTCGCCTTTGAGTGTTGACTTAAATGTTCACTTTTATATTTATATTTACATACGCTCTATCTCTGATATTGAGCACTTTTTTCCATAAATATAGCAGAACTTAAAACTATATTTCTTCATATATATATATATGTATATATATATATATATGTTGAAACTTGACTAATGCATGGAATAATAATGCAACACAAAATGTACTTAGAACAAAATGTATTGAAACAAGAAAGTGTACACAATATTTACATATAGTCTTTTGTATATTCTTGGTAAGACCGTTCCTGGAGAATGTGTTGACTGAGTCGCAGTCGGGCAGAGTCTCTGGTTGAATCTCTTGATTCCTCCCTCTCTTCCTGGTACCAACCATATTTATATGGTCGGTACTCCACGGCAAATTAGGTGGATCCTACCACAACAATATATATATATATATATATATATATATATATATATATATGTTGAAAAGACTATGAAGTGAAGTTTGAGGTGCACGTCAGGTTAGATAGAAGATGACAAGGTTCTCTCCTGATGCCAGAACAATGACGTCTCAAAAGCGAAATGCTTTCAAACAATCGCCTGAAATATCTAATTTTTTTTTCTCATATCGAACAGAAATTCACTTTCAACTTAAAGCAAGTATTCTTTTCATTCAAATATTCTTTGGGCGGGAATCTGTTATTTGCCGATATGTACATACGACCTCAAGCAAATTTTCAGATTCACAAACACATGTTTGAGGTCAGTCAAATCATTTTTCTCGCACACATACAAACACACACAGAGATATACATAGAATAACACAGTTTTATTGAAAACATGCGCTGTGGCTGGGCATTAAGTCATTTTTCTCTACCACTGTTCAACTGGTGGATGGCATATGAAACTGGTTGTCTTTTTTCTTGAGAATTGATAATAAATTTATTAACCCTTTGACCTCTGTGTTCCTGAACAGTTTTAGTCCTTCTGCCTGAGCTCCTGAGTCAACATTCGTAAATAATTGCTATGTAATGTTTCAAGGTAGATATAAAAATAGTGACAACTGTTTATCCACCGTTCAACCGGTGGCTGGGCATTACGCTTTTTTTCTCTACCACCGATAAAGCGGTGGTCAGGGCTCAAAGGATTATTATGCAGTGATCCTGTGGGGATCAGTTTAGTACTCAATGACAATAGAAAACCGATCCCCCACTTTATGTCCCGTCGAATTTTATATGAATGTCAATCATGATTCGGAAAAAAGACATGGTCGCCAAAGCATGCCACACAAATGACATCAAAGAAAGGATATTAACCCATTTGAGCCGTGCGTTCCTGAACAATTTTAACCCTTCTGCCTGAGCTCCTGAGTTAAAATTCGCAAATAATTGCTATGTAATGTTTCACGGTAGTGTTTAACCACCGTTCAACCGGTAGCTGGGCATTATGTCATTTTTCTCTACCACCGATAAAGCGGTGGACAGGGCTCAAAGGGTTAATATGCATTAATCCTGGGGGGATCAGTTTAGTACTCAATAACAATAGAAAACCAATTCCCCACTTTCTGTACAATAGAAACTTATATGTCTATATTTCTTAGATGAGGTATTATGTACAGTATTTACATTAGTCGGACTATTGTCCTCATCTTTGTCGCCATATTTGTCACAACATTTCGGCCGTTGTATGCTCCGGCCTTCTTCAGGCGGTTGGAATTTCGAACTGAACCCTTTATTTCGCTCACGGGTATACTGTTCTAGTTCCACGTGCCATGTTTGATGGATGTCAGTTATCAGTTATTTCCTGTTAATTTTCCCTCTGAAAGTTCTCCACTGCCTTAAGCGGGTATTGAACTCATACTCTTTGGGTCTGTCACTGGATCTAACCAACGCCTTTATCCACTGTGCCATGTGTCCTCAAGTCAAAATTCGCAAATAATTGGTAACTAATGTTTCACGATAGATATAAAAATAGTTACATGTGTTTACCCACTGTTCAACCGGTGATTGGTCATTACGTCATTTTTCTCTATCACCGATCAATCGGTGACTGGGCATTAAGTCATTTTTGTCTACCACCGGTTAAGCGGTGGTCAGGGCTCAAGAGGTTAATATGCAGTATATTTAGGGGGATCAGTTTAGTACTCAGAGACAATAGGAAACCGATCCCCTACTTTATGTCCAGTCGAATTTTATACGAATGCCAATCATGATTCGGAAAAAGCACATGGTCGCTGAAGCATGTGAGACACATGACACCAAAGGAAGGATACATCTTACATATTTAAAAGTCTTTCATTCGAATATTGCTGCCATATCTAGTCTGGTGTTACCAATAAATACCTCGAGATTCTTGGAAAAATTCAAAGATGGGTCTAATATATGCTATCCTTTTTAGCATTTCGATTTCTATCACCTTCTCAAAAACCTGACGCCTCTTCGCTTACTCTTTTCTACAAATATTTTCATTATACACTATTTACATTATTTAGACTATTTTCCTCATCTTTGTCGCCATATTTATTACAACGTTTCGGCCTTTCAGTATCTCTATATTTCTGAGATGAAATTATTATGTACACTATTTACATTATTCGGACTATTGTCTTCATCTTTGTCGCCATATCTATTACAACGTTTCGGCCTTTCAGTATCTGTCTATATTTCTGAGATGAGGTATTATGTACACTATTTACATTATTCGAACTATTGTCCTCATCTTTGTTGCTATATTTATCACAACGTTTCGGCCGATGTACGCTTCGGCTTTCTTCAGGTAGTTGGAATGTCGAACTGAACCCTTTATTTCACTCGCTGGGGTAAACTATTCTAGCTCCACGTGTCATGTGTCATCAAGGACACATGGCACAGTGGATAAAGGCCTCCAGTGAGAGGACTCGGAGAGTTGTGAGTTCAAAAGCTAGTTAAGGCAGTGGAGAACTTGGAGATGGGAATTAACTGCAGATAACTGATAACTGACATCCATTAAACATGGCACGTGGAACTAGGACGTCTACCCCAGCGAGCGAAATAAATAGTTCAGTTTAACATTCCAATCACCTGAAGAAGACGGCAGAAACGTTGTGATAAATATGGCAACGAAAATGAGGACAATATTCCGAATAATGTAAATAGTGTAATTATTTTCATGGCAATTGTTTTCATAAACTTTCCTTCTTGGTGCCTCATCTCCATATATTTAAACGTGCTACTAGATTGGCAATTAGGTCTCAAGGCTGAAAGGTCAATACAGCCATAGCTTGGGTGAAATTCGTATTGACCTGATCTTCACATTAAGGCAAACTCCTGAGGACCAGACGTTAATTTCCTTCGTCGAATTTGTTTGTCCAGGGCCCCTCTGGGATCAAAATCAACACGTTCAGGTCTCTGAAGCTATGGTCAAGACGATCTTTCTCTGCGGCTGTGAAACGTGGCCAGGGAGACCTGGTAACACCACATTAAGGTGAATGCACTCTATGACTGCCATCACCATTCTGAAGCTATGAATTCGACGCCAGCGTAGAGTTGCCATCGCGCTGAGTAGGCTAGTGGTAAGTCGTCCCGGAGTTGAGTTATTCGCGGAGATGAATTGGCCGATGTTGAGTCGGCGGTGGTGAAATGACCCCCCGCGCTCGGCGGTAACCGCCACTAGTCAGAGAAAGAACAAGATGGACGACTGCGCATTGATGCTGCCCGTGTTGCGTTCGGTCGGCTTAAAACTCGGCTGCTGTGTAGATCTGAAATCAGCACAGAAAGTTAATTACCGTAATTCCCCATGTATAATACGCATTTGTTTATTTTAAAAAATAAGGAAAATTAGGGGTGCGTATTATGCACAGCTACAAAAAAAATCTTTAAAAATTGCCGTTTCATAGGTCGATTTCAGTTGCGAAATGACTACTCACGAGAAACATACGACAATTTGACACTAAAATTCGGTGATTGTGACCCCATAAGGATGACAAATACAATCATATCTATCTAACAATACTTACCAATGTGAAATAATATAAGAATTATCATGAAACTAAATTAGATTATAATATTATTCTATGTTTAAAATCATTTAAATAAGAGTAGAAACACTGGCCGTAAAGCAATTGGAGAAGTACAATTTATAGGGTTTGATTACTAAACAAGAGGTGCGTATTATGCGTGCGTAGAAGCATTTTCCCACACTTTCAGCACAATTTTAGGGATGCAAATTATGGATAGAGGCGTATTATACAACTTTGAGTTGTGTGGGTGTCGAAACTTTCTCGGCACTGTGTGGAAAAGAGCGTTATATGTGCCACATAAAAAAAGCAGACAAAAATACAAAAAGAGTGAAAAAACATAGCGATAGAAATTTCTTTTGAAAGGCAGTTGAAAGTAACAAGACTCTCAGAGGTGACAGGATCTTGGCCTTTTCAAGCGGACGCCACGGTTTTAATTACTGAAATCGTCAAGGAAAATACGATATTCCAAATGAATGGGCGTGGCGGCTATTGTCGGGTTGAGTTCCGTTATCCTATAGGCTTCTAACGGTCGGATAAGAAGGCCTTTTCTACGCCCTGTAGATTGAATTTGTTTGTAGATGCATGCGAAATGAATAATACATCGGCTAACTTCTGTTTTTGTTTTTTGGGGTATTTTTTTTAATCGTTTCACCTCCAAACAAGGGGATAATGCCACTAAGACGCAGGGGCTGCACGAAATGAAAGAGAATGAGAAGACTTTAGTGAAGAGAAGGGTGAGTCGAAACATAATGAAAGTCCAGGTTGACCTTCAACAAATATTGAGCGTTTTTATTTCATTTTTTAATAATAATAATAATAATACGATAGATAGATAGATAGATAGATAGATAGATAGATAGATAGATAGATAGATAGATAGATATGAACAAGGAATGAGAAAGATAATTAGATAGAGAGATAGATGTGAAGAGAGAATAAAATACATAGATAGATAGATAGATAGATTTGAACAAGGAATGAGATAGATAATTAGATAGAGAGATAGATGTGAACAGATATGAAGACAAAATAAAATATAGATAGATAGATAGATATGAACTGTCTAAGGTAGATAGATATGAAAAGACAGATAGATAGATAGATAGATAGATAAAAGATAGATAGAACAAAAGGAAGATAGATGAGATAGATAAACAGATAGATAGATAGATAGATAGGCAATAGATAACGAACAAGGAAATGGAATGGCATAGATAATTAGAGATAGATGTAAACAGATAGATAGACAGACAGATAGATAGATAGATAGATAGATAGATAGATAGATATACATAGAGAGAAAGACAGACAGACAAACGCATAGATAGATAACGAGGAGACTAAGAAAGATATATATATATATATATAGTTAGATAGATATAAACATTCATATACATAAAGAGAAAGACAGGCAGACAGACAAACGCATAGATAGATTGATAACGAAGAAAGATAGATAGATAGATAGATAGATAGATAGATAGATAGATAGATAGATAGATAGATAGAATGAAGAGACTGTGATAGATAGATAGATAGATAGATAGATAGATAGATAGATAGAAAAAAAGAAAGAAAGAAAGAAAGAAAGAGAATAGGGGGTTTTGCCTCTATCTTTCCATTAGATTCTGCTAATCCCGCCATGTCTGTCACAGTCTCTTTATGCCTATACCGATTTTTTTTTTAATTTATTTTTTTCGTTCCTTTTATCTGTGGCTTATCTAAGCTCAAAGATCGGTGCATATGTTTCTAATCCCGAATCTATCTGACATCCCCGTAAAGAAGCATTATTTATTGATCAACATTAAAGAACGGGTTTTTGTTTTTTCATCGAACAATGAACGAAAAACTGCATTACACACCGACAAGTAAACGTATTTACCCTGAACGCACTTACATAAGTAAAACATTTATTTATAATGCATTTATCTTCGAAATGATACTACACACACACACCTAAAAAACACACACACATATATATATATATATATATATATATATATATATATATATATATATATATATATATATATATATATATATATATATATCTTTGTTAGTTTACTGATCTAACTATCGCCATATATGTATATATTTATATCATGTTTCTCTATAATATTACTTATAAATATATATATATATATCTATCGCTTTCACCTATAGATTTATATCATGTTTTTCTATAATATTACTTATATATATATATATATATATATATATATGACTCTGTATCATGTTCGTTTATCGATCGTGTTAGTTTATCTCTCTCTTTCTCTCACTCTCTCTCTCTCTATATATATATATATATATATATATATATATAGAGAGAGAGAGAGAGAGAGAGAGATGTATATATATATATATGTATATATGTCTGTGTATGTGTGAGTTTGCATTAATTTATCTTGTTTATACTAGTTTACCTTTCAGTCTATCTATGATGTTAGTTTATCTCGCTAAATATATATATATATATCTATATCGTTTTAGTTTATCTATCAATGTATCTATAATGTTAGTTTATCCATATATAATATATATATATATGTGTGTGTGTGTGTGTGTGTGTGTGTGTGTGTGTGTGTGTGTGTGTGTTAAAATATAGCTGGCAACTCGTATTCGAGGATAATCCCTATTGCAGTCGCTTGCTCAGGCACATTTCTGCTTGTTCATTACCCACAGAACCCACCTGTGGTTCATATTATGCTGAGCAGACCTTAGTTACAGTTTCTGGAAGAGAGAGTCTTATCTAGCATCATCCACAATTTCAACAAAGCCAGCACGCTCAGACCCTCGGCCACGATGACTTGTGGCTTTGTGCTAGCACAGCTATCGATGGCCCCACAGGGTTCCGTCTACTCATGTTCACTCACAAGGCATGGATCAACCCGTGGTGTGGTTTTCAGTAACTTTCCAAAGGTGCTGCACACTGGGATTGTCCCCTTCCTGACAAATCCACCGTGGTGAGATTCGAACCCGGGGCTCATGGTCAGAAAGCGAAGGTTTTAACTACTCGGCAGTGGTGAAGGTTTCGTGCAGGACCATCCACACTTTTTGAAGGGCCGAATACGGAGACCTGGTGCACTACATGCCACAAGGTCTCCAAAACGCAGAGTTGACCTTCTCCTAGACTAGCTGCCATCCAAGGATATAGAACCCAGTCTGTCCTGCTATTTACCCATAGCTAGAGGGATAAGAAGAGGGTTCATACCTTTCCTAAGGGTGAATGTAACTGTATTCGACTGGAATTCGATTGTGGCTCTTCGATTCCTCAATACAAGCCGCATCCCACTCCACTGTGCCTCCTAATATATATATATATATATATATATATATATATATATATATATATATATATATTATATATATATATTTATATATATATATATATATATATATATATATATATATATATATATATATATATATATATACAATGATGGCTTTATATATATATATATACTAATGAATATCTTTACTTTCAAAACTGTTCTTGATATAAAAATGGATATAAAATTTATATATAGTTATCCCATATTAATGGATATATATATATATATATATATATATATATATATATATATATATATATATATATATATATATAATGTGTGTGTGTGTGTGTGAATTGGGATGAAATAAATACAGATCAAATATGGATTGAATCCGAGAGAATGATAAGATAAACAACAAATATGAAAGGTTTATCAGTCTAACATTAAAAGTCAAATATGTGAGATTGATAAACGTTTCCTATTTGTTTCTTTATCTTATCATATATATGTGTGTGTGTGTGTGTGTGTGTGTGTGTGTGTGTGTGTGTGTGTGTGTGTGTGTGTGTGTGTGTGTGTGTGTGTGTACATATAATTTATTATATTCTGGCAATCCATTCATTTTGAATGTTTTGTACGCTTTTTAAAGCCCCAAGTGAAATCTCGCTATATAACGTTTACTCACGAGATTTCGATCTGTCGATAAATGTTCATAATGTTTCTCGTCGACGTCATCTGGAATATTTATTTTATCTTGCGTAATATCTTTCATTTCCTATCCAAGTACAAATCTACGTAGTATCCATTGCTATATCCTCTTCGTCTTTGTCATGCGACGATTTTGAAAGAGTTTTGCCCTTTTGTCCGTGACCCGGCGTTGTCAAAAGAAAAGATATTTTATTATGTAGGAACAAATTTAGGTATCACTCCATGCAAGGCAGTAAAGCCACTTAGACACAAAGGGTTACAGGTTGTGGAAGAAAAAAACATCTATCTATCTATCTATCTATCTATCTGTTATGGTCCAAGTTCCTTGTACCACGGCGATGGTCCAAGGTTAGAACCAATGAAAGAATAACACGAACACAGGTATGGAATACAAAGATATATTACAACAGAAATAAAATACAAAGAAGTAAAAGTATTAGTAATGACTATCAGATTTGGTTAGAATGAACTATGTTGTCTCGACAAGTATCACTATTCCAATGTCCTTACAATATGCTCTCAATTATCTCTCCTCGTCTTACAATCTCCTCATCTTGAGAGGCGCAGTATTTACAATGTCAGGAATAGTCCATTATTATTATGGGTAAGTTGCCATAACACTATCTATCTACGTTTTTTTTTAATTGATATCACCCCATGCAAGGCATTAAAGCCACTAAGATACAAAGGATTTAAAAGAATTTGAAACAAAAACATTAATAATGAGGGTGAAGAGAAAAGAGTAATCAGGGGGACAGTAGATAGCGATTGACATTGCATTTAAATTTCTGCAGTTTAGAGTTGGCCGGAAAGCATGGAGGCGGAGGGAGTGCCACAAGGGAGAAGTGAGAGAAAAAAAACTGTTAGCATAGAGTTTACAGTTGCATCTAGCCAGCTTAACTCAAACATCTATCTATGTGTTATGGTCCGATTCCTTGTACCGCGGTGATAGTCCAAGGTAGAACCAATAAAGAAGAACTCGAAAACAGGTATGGAATAACACAGATATATTACAAACAGGAATATATACAGAGAAGTAGAAATGTTAGTATGAACAATCAGGTTTAGTAGAGAGAACAATGTAGTCTCGACCAGTATCACTATTCCAATGTCTTGCAATAATTGTCTGAACGCGACTCTGTTTCGGACTGCCTCTGACTCGACTGTTGACTCGACTTGAACTACTGACGATATTCAGTCACCCCCACCACGAGGGCGTCATGTGGCACAAGGCCTTTTTAACGTGGGCTCTCCGAGCCCGTGGGCTCGGCCAAAAATATGCACATTGAACCCGTACAAACGGGTTCAGGGTCGGTTTACCTCCCCGAAAGAGACTCCGCCCCTCGGCGTAGCCTCGATCGGGTTCCTCTCCGCCCGAAGGTAGAGAGTTCAACTTAACAATCGCTCAGGACTTAAGCGACTGACGATATTCAGTCAACCCCCCCGACGAGGGTGTCATGTGGCACAAGGCCTTTTTCACGTGGGCATTTTCGAGCCATTAGGCTCGGCCAAAAAATAGCCCATTGAACCCGCATAAACGGGTTCAGGGCCAGTTTTACCTCCCCGAAGGAGACTCCGCCCTTCGGCGTAGCCGCCTTCGGGTTCCTCTCCGTCCGTAGACAGAGAGTTGAACCGAACAGTCGCTCAGAAAGTTGAGCGAGTGACAATATTCAGTCCCCCCCACGAGGATGTCATGTGGCACAAGGCCTTTTTAACTTGGGACATTCCCAAGCCATTAGGCTCGGCCAAAAAATAGCCCATTTGAACCCGTATAAACGGGTTCAGAGCCGGTTTTACCTCCCCGAAGGAGACTCCGCCCTTCGGCGTAGCCTCCTTCGTGTTCCTATCCGTCCGTAGACAGAGAGTTGAACCGAACAGTCGCTCAGAAAGTTGAGCGAGTGACTCCTTGCCTATTCCTGAGGCGCAGTAAGTATGGAATAGTCCATTATTATTATTATGGGTAAGATCCTATAACACTATGTTTTTTTTTTCATCGGTGTCACTCTCTGCAATGCAGTGATGCCTCTAAGAAAGAAAGTGTTACAGGATGTGGAAGAATTAGCAACAGAAACATTAATAATGATGAACAGAAAGAGAAAAGAGTAATCAGGAGGTCAGTAGATAGCGATTGGCATTGCATTTAAATTTCTGCAGTTTAAAGTTAGCAGGAATGTATGGATCCGGGAGAGAGTTCTACAAGCGAGAAAAGAAACTGTTAGCATAGAACTTACGGCTAAATCTAGCCAGATCAATTGTAAATTGATGAGATCTCGACAAGATGGATAATAATAGATCTTTATTAGACGTAAATATTTATTACAAAAATTCAAAACGAGAAAAAAAGGCAAGCGTTCAACCATTCAACATCTCAAACTAAACACAATTCTAAAACCTCTCTGCATTTTTTCCTGGGATTCACAGAGAATAATTTGTAAGAAAATTGCTGAAGCTCTGGTTAACCTTCAAAGCTACGGTGAGCAATTGGCTAGTTTGAATTACGTATTTGAAGAGAAAAAATATTTCTCGTGATTTTTTTTTCTGCCTGGAAGCGCTAGTCCTCATGTTACAAACCCGACGCAGTAGACAACGGGACGTTCTTCTGCGAATGCAATTTTCTCCAGGCCTTCACCTGACGGTCAACACATTTTTTTTTAATGTTCAGCG